GAGAGAGAGAGAGAGAGAGAGAGAGAGAGAGAGAGAGAGAGAGAGAGGGGTGAGGGGTGAGGGTGGTTTGAAATATCCTGTCAGTTATAATTGTTGCTTTTGTTATTTATAACCACAAGGGCAAATAAATATACAACTCCGTGGGCTTAGAGAGAAAAAGAAGATGGTTGTTTAAGAGAAACTTTTCCTGAAAATATTTCTAATGTATTTGATTGACGCAGTGGTGATTTTTATAATGGGCCCCACTCTTGCCATATTTTGCAGCACATCAGCACATCAACATCTAATAGCTGAGAGTACCTTTGGCAGACAGTATCTCTCTGTCTGACACACTTAACTCTCAGGCCTCCAATCCCTGCAGTTTCTGCTCTCTAAGGTTAGCAGGTTCACATTACCGGCTGAGAGAGGATGCCAGAATCCTCACCCCCGACTTCTCGCTGATCAAAGACGGGGATTGACATTCACAGTGGGTAAAATGCTGAAAGTTAAGATTAACTTGTTTTTTCTCCATCTCTGTCTCTGGTTGTTTGTGTACAGCAGGAAGACGAGGAGGAGGAGGCAGTGGAGGAGGAAAACGAGAAGCAGAGTGGGTGGAAGGATGGAAGGAGAGAAGGATGGAAGCAGTTCGAGGAGGTGGTTGGAAGCGGGTGAACCCAGAGCAGGTGAACACAGCTGTGGATCGCCATGGGCTCTCTGGCTGCCCTCCTCCTGTGGCCCCGGCGCTGCATACAGGGGTCCCGGTGAGCCGGCAGGGGCCAGCCAAAGCTGCGGCAGAGTGGGCAGGCTAGGCCAGCCAAGCCAGGAGAGAGGCAGGTGAGGCGGGTGAGCCGAGCTCTCATCCCCGCCGGCTAGGAGCCTCCGCGGCAGAGCGGAGCAGCGCGGAGCAGCGCGGAGCAGCAGAAATCAATATGGAGGAGAGAGGCTAGCAGAGGTTGCCCAGCACCGCCTGCAGGCCTCGGAGCCCAGGGACCAACAACCACCACTGCTCCCAGCTCCTCTCTCCATCTCTCTTTCTATCTATTTCTCCAACAGTCCCAGCACCAGCCAGGGCCAGGGCCCTAACCGCCCCACACGCAGTGTGTGTGTCAGAAGGTGCACATGTGTGTGTAAGAGACAGAGAGAAAGAGAGTCTTTGTGTGTGGTTCAGCCGGAGGGTTTTTTTTTTTTTTGCTGCGTCCAACACCACTTGATAAAACTTTGTCAGAGAGACACGGAGACAGTGAGGGGGGGGACGGAAGAAGAATAAGACAGGACGTCGAAGGTCGCTTTTCTTCCAGCTCCCTCCCTCTTATTACTCATTCCACCGTAACTGTTTGAAAAGGAGCCATCGGAGACGGTGCACAGGATGTTTCTGCTCAGTCCCACTTCCGAGTGCGTAGCGCACAATATTCCTAACATCTCACGAGCCAGGATGAAAGGACAATTTGAACTTTTTCTCTCATCGACAGCATCAGACACAACCTGTCTTTTCGCCTTAGATTTTCTTACCCTCACTACAGCAGCTCCCATCAGAGGATATGGCAGTGCAGTATTGATCTATAAGGTGGAAGAAGGGAAGGCGGGCCCCAGCTTTCATACCCCCCTCTCTCTCTCTCTCTCTCTCTCTCTCCCTCTCTCCATGTGTGTGGAAATAGCACCTGAAGTCCACTTACTGCTGTGCAGCTGGGATCCCATGAAAGCAGAAGTGAATGGCTGCTAATTGAATGAAAGATGAAAAGGACAGTAGTTGTTGTACCTGCTCAACCCCCACCTC